CACGAGCTTGTAAGTTATTCCATAATAAAAATTTGACTTTGAGACAGACGTCCCACAATGCGACAGACCGCTCGCTGTAAAGGAACAAGTAAATATGTAAACATAAGCTGAGTTTGTAGCCGTCAGCAGTCTGCCTTTTGTCTGCAAAAACAAATGACTTGATAGAGAACAGGACAAGCTGAAAACTAAGTGTACCGGCTGAGTGAATTTATCTGCTTAATATTTTCACGACTGCCCCCCCCCCTCACCCTAGATTGGATCAGGCAGGTGCTTAAGGAAAAATCGGAAATTAACAATGGAAAGGTGTTTAGGCGACAAAGAAATAGTCGTTACATTGTTGTTTGGGCAAACCGTACGTAATGCGATCTCATTTGCTTCGTGAAACAGGTGAACTAGAATTATGATATACAGAAGCCTATTTTCGCTNCAAAATTCAAACCTCTCGTTTTTCGGATCATAAACGCCTCATCCCTTAGTCATGCTGGACCCCGATTGGTCGGTTTCCCCAAAATTTTTAACGTTCGAGATAATTCGCAAGGTCACTGACGGCCGATAATCAAAATACGTAAAACAGACGAGCTGTCCATTCAAATCGCTTTTCCTCAAGCGGAATATATAAGCTCGTCTGATGGTTCTTCTAGATTGGATCTCAGTGTTGTACTTTTGCAGAGCACTTCCATTTGTCTGGGGCTGTGCTGGATATCGTTGACTGGTTTCGAAAGTCTGTACTAACGCATGCTCAGTAAATTTATGTTCTTGGTTGTCTGGTCGTTACTATCGTCCGTAAATTATAACAAGCGAAGTCTAGATCATAGCATGGGTTCCCAAAATTACTCAAACACGATATTGTGCACACATGCACAAACTCACAGGTGAACATTTCACGAATATTTGAATAAAAAACGACTTGGAGAAATACCCGAATCAGGCCCGGTACACATAAAAACAGAGAGAGAGAGAGAGAGGGACGAAGAGAAACAGGAAACCGTTACGCGATAGCCTCGCCGCTCGCGTGACTTACCCAGCCACCTTGCTGTGCAATCCATCGGAAGATATTGCACTGTCGACAAAAATTGATCAGACAATTGTACACTTGGAGAAACGCGTTGGCCACGTCCGACCGAACACGACGAATGACCAGTCGATAACCAAAGTAAAACAGGGTGACAATTTGACCCCAATTAGTCGGGCCACGATTGAAAAGGCTGTGGAACGAGAGACGGACCGAGAAAGACAATTAGACGATTGGGATTGGTAGTGCCGAACGTCTGGGAGCACAGATTTATTTCACGCCAAAAATATAAAGGCCGTCAATCTTTTCCACCTCAGTTTTTCAATACAAGGTTGACAAGGTTCATTAAGGATGGGGCGAAAATCGAAGGCCGTCTCACTTAGGAATTGCATGAACACAAGGCGGCCCATTGGGAATCAGAGGCCAGTATGTAAAAATAACGTGCGACAAAACTATGGGGGAAACGTCAACCGGGAGTGACACTTCCGTGGCCAGTACCCTCTTCTCTGATATTTTGTAAGTCAGTCCGGTGACCATGNCCATGCATGATTGGCAGTTTGGTTGGAGTCCATCGACAGACAGATGACACCGCCACGTCAAGCGTAGCCGGACAAGAAAAATCAGATAATCCTGTTTGGTTTTTTCCACAGCAGTAGTAACTTGTTACAAGTCAAGGAAATAGAAGGCATAGTTGCGCATCAGCATATGATATATGGCTTTTGTACACGTGTTACGTAAAGGCTATCATTTCTGGTAAGTCTGTTAGAAAAACGTGCACGCTTGAGTGTTTTGATCGGAAGTATAAAACGACAAACCATCCGATTTGCATTTGAAAAAAACAGTCAACGCCAGGACGCTTAAAATAGATTCTGTTATTTATGCTATTTCAACGATACGAACAGTGAGCGCTGTGGAGGCTTTTATGAACTGTCTAAGCATAAGAAGCTGAATGTGATTTCATTTGAATCAACAATAAATGGTGGTCCCAAAGCCGCATTTGTAGGATAGGTTATTTAGATAGACTGGCAGAGAGAGAGAGATTCGGTGGCGAGAAAAGTTCAACCTGATGTGGACCGGATAATTCACATTTCACTAGTGGTATGATATCTGGAAGGAAGAAATTGGAGCTAATAATAAGAAGCGCAACGGCGAACGATTAGTTCTGGTGTGATTGCGTTTGGCCTGAGTAGTTTCAGTCCGTTGCCAGTGCGGTACGGTAGTTAAAATGCAACGGTCTAAACCAACACACTTACATGTTTCCTTTTTTTCTTGATCACAATGCTAATGGATACAATCTTTTCCACTAGACACTATCATATATATATATATAAATATATATATATATATCATGCATGGGTAATGATAGGATTGTTTTTTCGGGATAGTTACTTTCGGAGTAATCAGTTGACGATTCTAACTGAGATCTATGTGGACTGACAGTTTCACGTGGATGTGGAGAGAGAGAAATGCCCATACTTCCCAATCTGAATATGGGGCTATTTAGAAAGCAGATGAGAATATACTATCATCGGATTTTGTATTCCGTTAGTTAGCAGAACTGTAATTTGGCTTGACATAGATAGCTAAGAGATGTGAAGAATAGGTGTCACAACTAAACGAGCGAACATTTTGCATATCCTCAATGGTAGCACTATTCTCTCGTGTCAAACGCAAGGATCACTCGTACAATTCACGTGTATCCGTTCACTAGAACATCTAAATTTATTACTACAGTTTAACCGGATCAACGAGCTTGTAGATCGCTATGGGAGTAATTTTGTGCCCGATCCTGTACATGTTGTAGATGATTTACAATGTGCTCCTGGACACCACGGAACAGAAGAAAACCGGCAATTCACACCTACGTCACGTAGAACAAGGAAAGTGGAGGTGGGGCGGGGGTAGAAACATGCCTTTTCCGAACGATCAATGAGAATACAGTTGGGATCGAAACGCCGAAACAATACACATACATATTTCCGGTCGAGTGTTAGGCAACACGCAATGCTGTAAGGAAACAAAACGTTGAAGTTTCCAAAATTTAGTGTGCCGAACAGATGATCGGGGAGAGGAAAATGTGCACAGCTGCAAAAGGAAAGGAAAGCTAGTTTAAGGATACCCGGAACGAGTGTGTGTCTTAACATGAAGCGTCATGGAGATGAAACAGTATGATCGTGGTCAGAAACGGGAAGTATGGAGAAGTAGGGGTAGATAAATGCCCCAATGGAAGAGTGGAAAAATAAATGGAAGCATCGTGGAGGGTTACTCATGTGAGAGATGTAAACAGGTCTTGTGCGTACTAAAATATGCATGAATAAAACGGCACGCGTTCAATACCATAAAGAAATGAATAACAATCCAACACACAAACTCTCGGAATCCGGAAAACCGGTCCGATCTGGCTGTGATCGCATAGACTCATTGGGCATAAACGAGTTTGGTTGATAAAAGTTTCAGGATCGGCTTGAATGACTATTGGAACGGATCTGCCATTTTATGAAAGAAAAGATAAAAATTCAAATAGAAAGAAGTGTTCATAAAGTACAGCTGCGGTGTTCAACCGTTCGAAATTACCTGATAATGACTTTATGCGCAAACATGATTTCCGATATTGCGGTCACGGGATGACTGAAATGATTGAACTGCATAAGGTGCAGTGTCCGGGGCGTATTAGGACAAATCATCATACAACATTCCTTGGTGTGTGATGTTTTCGAGATAAGTACTGGTTGACAGAAGATCAAAGATGGTCATACGACGATTAAGCGTGATATCGTAAGACATCGATCGGCTACTGAGCTTTCCGGTCAGGATACCTGCCATCGGCCAAAATCTCATTTAAAAACATCGGGTGAGTAGATAAAAAGATACTCGTGTGTGTCTATTTGTCGTTGATACTAGCTTGATTAGTTTGGTAATAACCTTCCGAATTTTTTCGACTATAGAAGGAAGCAAAATGTAGTATTCCAAACGGGTAGTGGTGACTGTGGTGCTCTGTTTTTTGTAACCCATCGAATTAATTAAAACCTCAAAGTCACAGCTTACGCAATTCACATTGTTTTTTGCAATCAATCGCAGAGTTGCCCGTGTGTGTACATCGAAGAAACGGGAAAAATCACTGGAAGAACATCTTCACTATTAGTAGCAACATAGACAAAAAGAACAGGATAGACTTACGCCAGAGCCACACGGGAGAACAGTCCCATGGGACATTCGTTAACCGGTAGGAGTTTGATCATTCGATCCAAACGTGGACCGTAACGACGATTGATCTCGTCACCAATTTGGGCCAAATTTCTGGCGACCGCCATTTCCATGCTGAAATCCAGATCACACACATTTATGGCCTGAGACAATTCATTGATTCTAAATTATCACTGAGCGAAGGTTATAAAGTTACTCCATAATGAAAAATGGCACCTTTGTATTGGCAACCCTGAACCTCAACAGCAAACTGTCCCATCCAACTTTCCGAGTTAATCTTCAAATATTTGCTTCCTGCGAACACCGCTGAATACCCGCGCTTAATTGGCGAGACGGATTTCGCCAGACCACGACTGACTTTCCTGTGCACGGACATACAGGACAGTAATTCAGGAACTAGGAACACCAATTTAGATTCACAGCAGCTCTATTCATGAGT